GGGTAAAGGCACTACTGCCCCTGGCCCAAACAGAACTGCACTGGAGAAAGCCAAGAAGGCCAACAAAAAGGCTTGCGTGGTTGAACTCCGCTCGGTTGATGACGGCGCCCCTAAAATGGACGCCGCCGAGTTCATGACCTTTCGCAGCAGGGCCCTGGGGCTTTTGAGTGGTTCGGTCATCGTCAGTACCACCTTCCCAATAAAGGGAGGTATTGGACTAGTCCTTAGCGATGAGAGTCACGGGAACACATGCGTTCAGTCTTTGAGTCGCATGCAGGGTTATACAGCCAAGGTCCGCACTGGATTATGGCCACGTGTGATTTTGTTTAATCCCGCAATAGCCCGTGGTTCCACTATCGACTCAGTGAGTCGCTCTATCAAAGAGGGCAATCCTGCTCTCACCGAAGGTATCGACGGTGCCAAGCTGGTCAGCGCGGTCTATTGGCGCGGCCAGCACTTAGTTATGGCGATCTGCCCAACCCTCTATCACAGGCTCTCTGCCAATGGGGAAGGGAAGGGTCGCCTGGTATTAAATCACCTTTGCACCAGATGGGCGACATCTCGCTCCCCATCAGTGTGTTTTAGGTGCTGTGGTATTGGCCATATTGGCCCTTCCTGTCCTCATAAGCAGGATCAGGCCAAGATTCGCTGCACGCGTTGTGCAGCCTTCGGTCACGAGAGACAAGCTTGTACGGCTCAGTCCATCACAGGGCCGGTGCTGAAATGCGCGAACTGCCTGGACTTCAACGCATCTCATCCTGAAGCTCGAGTTCACCGAAAGGTGGACCACGAGTGCACGGATGGCGCATGTGAGAGCTTAGCCGCCTTTGCTAGGCGGCAATGGGGCCGTACTGACTTCGGAAATGCCGCCTTTTGTCAATGATAAGGATTCTACAGCATAATGAAGGTCATCGGCTGCTGGCGTTGAATTTACTTCTGCCACGGCTGCATAGCACTCTCGTAGACATGGTCTGCCTCCAGGAACCCTGTTCCGCTTCCCGTAAGCTCGTTGGCTACCAATACCACGGCTTACGTAAGAACGAGGAGGCTTGTATATTGTCCAAGCGTGGCATCCCCTGGCACACGGTTTTTGCTTCCCGCGACCTTGTTG